AATAATTAAAGATAAATATAAAATTTTATTAATAATTTATTATATCAATATTTTATTAAATTAAAAATATAGTCCTATTAAATTGAATGGAGAGAGAGTAAAATAAATTTATTACTAGTCAATTGAAATTTATTAGATTAAAATGTGAGAAATTCAAAAGCTATAAGGACCATCAGTGGCATTACCCTATTAACATTGTAAAAATTTAAATCTCTGACCAAAATTTTAAATTAAAAATTTTAAATTAATGAGATGAACTCAACCAAACCCTTCTCTTTGTCCGTGTCATGGGGTAGGTGGGCAAATAGTTGGCTAACCAAATAATCACATAATTAAAATTTGATTAAAAATTAACCAAATGATAAGATCAAGATGTAATTGATTATTGGTAATTTTTTGGGTTTTAGTTATAACCGAAAAAAATTCATGTTGGTTATTGTTTAGAGGCTTAAAAACCAAAACTAAATATATGACCAAAAAATAAATTTTAATATTAATAAATAAATAATTATTATTTGCATGTTCCAAATAAATATAAATTTCATCATATCCAAACTCTTTTTTAAGTATTAGTTCATAAATTTTGATATAATTTAGGTTTAAATTTAAAGGTTAGAAAAAAAAATCAAAATTTCATCTCTTACTTACTCTTAGTTATTTATCATTTTTTTATCTTATTTTTACATTTGATAATAATTTATTAAAACTAAAACCGAACTTATAATAACAAAAAATTTAGATAACCAAACCAAAAAACTATATATATTTCAATATTAGTTTTGGTCTTAAAAATTTTAACCAAAAATTTTTGGTTAATCAAATATCGGTTTCGGTTTTAACCAAAACCGAGATTTGCCCACAGAAGCTTTTTTTTTTCTTTTTTTGGTAGAAACAGAAGCTATTCCCATGAAAGTGACTTTTTAAGGTGCTTGCAACTTGCAAAATGCAAAGACGGAGAAAATACCAGAAGTGACTTCTCAAATTCTTAATTTGCCTCTGCCTGAGGCTTACATCACACAACTATTCCATCTAGAGATTCTTGTCGATATCCATGTTTCTTAGATGGTCAGAGTTCCCTGCATGCCAATCAAAACCTCACACACCTCTATTATGTGTCATTCTCAACAGGAAAATGATTTTATTTAACATATTTTCTTACACCTCTTTTCATTTAATTATTAAAAATAATATAAATATAATTATTTCAGTTAATAAGTATATTTTTAAATTGATTTATTTTTAATTTTGTATTAAAAAATAATAATTTTTTAATAAATATATTATACAATATATTAAATTAAAATATATAATAAAAACTATCCTTCTCAATATACTAGAATTCCTAATAAGACACGAGAATGAGAGAGTTAGAGAGAGAGAGTGCTAGGGTTAGGGCTAGGTTTCCGACAGCCAAGGACAGTGGTAGTGGGATCAGGCGGCAGCTTCCACGGTATGGCAAGCAGTATCTTGGGCAGGCAACTTCGTATTTCTTCTACGATTTTCCAGCGGATCAATCAGCAAAGGATTTGTGGTATTGTTTTTGGTCATTTGGGAAGGTGGCGATGTGTATATTCCAGCAAAGCGCGATCGAAGAGGCCGTCGGTTTGGTTTTGTTCGTATGTTGAATGTCTCAAATGTTAGGGAGATGGAAAGGAAGTTGAACCAGATTAAGATAGACTCTTATTATCTCAAGGTGAAGCTTGCTGAGAATATGAAAAGAGGAAGGGAGGAGACAGTGTTGGGACAGCACAAGCAGTTGGAGAAACAATGGATTAGAAGAGATAGTAAGGTGTCTCCAAGGAAAACTTATGCTCAGGTCGTTGTTGGAAATATGGGTGCACTAGAGGAAGGGAAGTCCTCCACTAATGGGGCCAAGCAGGGTGTTGCAAAGAAAGGAAAGGGGGCTATGGAGGATGCGGGGGAGGAGGTTTTAAGGGTGAGGGAATTGAAGGTGACGCCGGAGACATCACCTGAGAAGGCTTCTGGGCCAGAAATAGAGTGGGTTTTAAACTTTATTCCTAAAGATGAGGAAGTGGCATGGCTGAAATGCAGTATGGTGGCTGAGGTTCGATCTTTGGATATGGTGAAGAGAATCCAAAACCGCTTGGATGTGGAGGGAATAATGGTGAATGTGGCTCTGCTTGGTGGTCGACAAGTCATTTTAGTGGATAATTCGGACGGTAGCCTAGAGGAGTTTCTTACCCGAAATGGAGAATTGGTGGAATTGTGGTTTGAATGGATAAAGCCATGTTTTTTATCCACAGTTTCTTCATTGTGTAGACTGGTATGGCTTCGGCTCAATGGGGTTCCGTTGAAGGCATGGAGTGAGAGATGCTTGACAGAATTAGGGAGCATAATTGGAGAGGTGATACTTGTTGACGAGGATACGAGGAGTAAATCGTTTTTATGCGAAGGAAGGGTGTTGATTTTGAGTGCAGAAAAGATGAAAATAGCAACAACCATTTGTTTGCAAGTTGATGGCGAGGATTTCCCAATAGCAGTGTCAGAGGAGGAGTGGAGGATGGATCCGGACTGGTGGTTGGCCGGAGAACGTCGAAATCTGGCCACTCAACCCAGTTCGGAATATTCTAGCAGCGACAATGAAGGAGGGGATGACGGTTACAACAATTTGAATTTGAATTTCAATGGAAACGGCCTTCTGTGCAAAGATGGCGGAGAGTTGGCCGAAGATCATGCTGTAATGGATTTGGTTTCATTCAAAGAGTTAAGTAGACAAGCAGAGTCGAAGGGAGAAGAAGCGGCTGGGTTTGTTGGCCTAAATGGGCTAGAAGAATTTGGGCCGGATAAGGGGAAACAGGTTGGGCCGGGAGTTGGTGACATTGTTTTTGGGTTAGAGGAAGCTCAACCTGGTGGTGGGTCCATCTTTAAAACCCAAGAGGTTTCTACACAGCTGCAACAGATGGCTTTGACGGGGAAAAAATGCAGAACTCTGAAGGAGGTTTATGCAGGGGACGCTGGAGAGGATGAATTGATGAGAAGGGGCACTATTTGGATCACGGCACGAACTAAGAGTAGAAGGGATATAAGGGTTCCAGCAACGCAAGAAGCGGAGAGGCCGAATCTGCAGCAGGAGAGTTGCTCCGTGTCGGATGGCTGCATTCAGCATAGAAATGGGATTATTCAGCGGCAATTGGAGACAAAAGAGGTGAGGGAAATTTTTGAGTTGGGGCAACGGTTGGGGATTCAGTGTCAACAAAACGATGAAGATGTGATTTCTAGGTTGGTAGCTTTGGAGGAGAGGGATGTGGTTAATTCTAGGGGGGCCTGAAGTTTGGGTGCTGGCGGAATGGAGGTTTGTGAGGTACAATTTTCTTTATGAAAGTAATTTCGTTTAATGTTAGAGGTTTAGGTAGTATATTAAAGAGAAAGAAGATTACTAAGTTAGTTAGAAAGGAGAGGCCAGATTTTCTATTTATTCAAGAAACTAAATTAGAGGAAGTGGAAGTTGCGTTATGTAGAACATTGTGGAATTCAGATGATTTTGACTGGGTTATGCAAAAATCAGTGGGTAGTTCAGGTGGTATGTTGTCTACATGGAATAAGAGAAATTTTGTCAAGCAAAGAGTGATAGAAGGAAACAGGTTTATTGGAATTTTTGGTGAATGGGGAAGTCAGCACACTACAAGCAACTTTGTTAATGTGTATGCTCCATGTGATAGGCAGAGGAAGGCTTCTTTGTGGGAGGAGATTGGTGGATCGATTTTGGAAGTGGGTGGTAGATGGCTTGTGGCAGGGGATTTTAATACAGTTCGAAATGTCACAGAGAGGAAGGGAAGATTAGGAGAAACTCAGGACATGGAAGATTTTAATCATTTTGTGGAAGGGACCGGGTTAATTGATGTCGGGTTGCAGAATAGGAAATTTACGTGGTACAGACCAGTGGAACTTCAATGAGTAGGCTTGACAGATTTTTGCTATCTACAGAAATGAGTTCATTGGATAGAGATTGGAATCAAGTTGGTGTTCGAAGATCAATTTCTGATCACTGTGCAATTATTTTGACATCAAGAAATGTGGATTGGGGTCCTAAGCCTTTTCGAGTACTTGATGCATGGCAACAACATCCAGATTTTCAAGAATTTGTGGAGAATAGATGGAAGGCTATGCAAATCGAAGGATGGGCCTCATACAAATGTAAACAGAAGTTGAAGCTTTTAAAAGAGGATTGTAAAGGATGGAATAGTGGGTTGTTTGGCAATGTGGAGACTCAATTTGACACCCTAGTAAAGCAGGTTGAGAGGTTGGATAAAAAAAGTGAGGAGGATGAGTTGGAAGAGAATGAGGTGCTATTGAGAAAGGAGTGTTTTCAGGGGATGTGGGAAATTTTAAGAAAGAGAGAAGCTGTGTGGAAGCAGAAAGCACGGACGAATTGGGTTTGTTTGGGAGATGCAAATACAGCATTCTTTCATAGGAGTGTTCATGCAAGGAGAGCACAGAATGGCATATTTGGTATCATAGGCGAGAAGGGTTGGGTTGAGGAACCGGATGCAGTCAAGGAAGAGGCAGTTAAGTATTTTAGCAAGCTGTTTCGAGATGAAAAGTGGCGTCGTCCTGTCTTGGGTGGGATTCAATTCCGCAGAATATCTGCGATACAAAAGGAGTGGTTGGAAAGACCTTTCACAATAAAGGAAATTGAAGAGGGACTTCGAAGTTGTGATGGATCGAAGGCACCAAGACCAGATGGTTTCAATTTTAATTTTATCAAATTTGCATGGAGCACAATGAAGGATGATTTTGTGAATTTCCTGTAGGAATTTCATCGTCATGGGAGGTTAGTTAAAGGTCTTAATTCATCATTTTTGACGTTAATCCCCAAAAAATTGAATCCAGTGCAATTTAAGGAGTATCGACCTATTAGTTTGATTGGGTGCTTGTATAAGTTATTGGCGAAAGTCTTGGCGAATCGGTTGAAAAAGGTCATGGCCAATATTATCAGTGAATCGCAATCAGCGTTTGTTGGTGGGCGGCAATTGGTGGATAGTGTGCTGATTTTAAATGAGGCTGTGGATGAGGTAAAAAGGAGAAAACAGGAGAGTTTCATCTTTAAAGCTGATTTTGAGAAAGCTTATGACTGTGTGAATTGGGATTTTCTGGATTGGATGATGGATAGAATGGGGTTTGGGGCTAAATGGAGGAAGTGGATTCGTGAATGTCTCTCGACAGCTAGGATTTCTATTCTAATGAATGGAAGCCCAACAATGGAGTTTACAACTAGTAAAGGTCTTCGTCAAGGTGATCCTTTGTCCCCTTTTTTATTTTTATTAGTTGGAGAAGGGTTGTGTGGGCTTGTCAGAAAAGCTGAGAGTGAAGGGCTTTTTCAAGGGGTGAATATTGGGACGAGTGGTATGAGTTTGTCATTGCTTCAGTTTGCAGACGACTCTGTTTTTATAGGAAAGGCATGTGCTGATAATTTAAGGGTCATGAAGGTTATTTTGCATTGGTTTGAATTGATTTCAGGGCTGAAGGTTAATTTCAGCAAGAGTCATTTGTATGGGTTTAACATTTCAAAAGGGTGGGTAAAAGGTGCAACAGCTATTTTGCATTGTGGAGTAGGCAAGGTGCCTTTTATATACCTTGGTTTGCCAGTAGGGGGGAATCCAGGGAGGAAGAAGTTCTGGAATTCAGTGCTGGACTGTTTTCAATCTAAGCTTGCCTCGTGGAAAAGCCCATTACTGTCCTTTGGAGGTCGGATTACCTTAATTAACTCGGTACTTTCTGCTCTCCCTATTTTTTACTTTTCGTTGTTTAAAATCCCTAAATGTGTGCTTATTGAGTTAGTTAAAATTCAAAGGAATTTTTTTTGGGGTGGTGTGAATTTGGATAAAAAGATTTCGTGGGTTAGTTGGGACAGTATATGTGTGGATAAAGAGAGAGGTGGATTAGGAGTGGATGATTTGGAGAGGAGGAATTGTGCTTTGTTGGGTAAATGGTGGTATAGGTTAGGTGATGGTTTAGAGGGTTTATGGAAGAGGGTGATTTGGGAGAAATATTATGGGGGTCGAAAGGAGGTTGAAGTTACTTCATTTGCATCTTTTAATATGTCTCGCGTGTGGAAGGACATTGTGAGTGTGGGTAGTGGGTCTGAAAGGCTTTTGGAAATGCTTGTAAAGGGCTTTAAATGGAAAGTGGGGGATGGAAGTTGTGTGAATTTTTGGAGCGATAAGTGGGTGGGAGAAAAGCCTTTGAAGAATTTATTTCCTAGGTTGTTTGCATTGTCTACAAATAGGGAGGGGTTGTTAAAGGATATGGGTCTTTGGAGTTTTGAGGGTTGGGTATGGGTTTGTAGGTGGAGACATGGGTGTCTAGGGAGGGCGGTTGGTGAGGAAGAACAGCTTAGGGAGTTGATTGATGGTGTAAAGTTGAAGAATGATGGAGTAGATTCATGGAGATGGATACATAGTGGAGATGGTTCATATTCGGTAAAGGTGGCGTATGATTTTTTAACACCGAAGGTTAGTATTTTGGTTGGGAAGTGGACTAAAGTAATTTGGAGTAAAGATGTTCCTTCTAAATTAAGTGTTTTTGGGTGGAGATTATTTTTGAATAGGTTGGCCACAAGGGAGAATCTATGTAAAAAAGGGATTGTTTCATTAGGGGAGGATGTTGGATGTGGTTTTTGTCATGAGGGGGTGGAGCAATTGCATCATATTTTTTGTGAGTGTAAAGGGGTGTGGATACTCTGGATGAAGATTTTGGATTGGTGGGGTTTGCAAAGTGTCTTACCAAATAATATATTTGGGTTGGTGGAGTATGTGGTGTATGGAATAGGTGGGGGAAGGTTGAAGGAGTTGGGAGCTCTTATTTTTTTGGTTGGTGCTTGGTTCATATGGTACTGGAGGAATATCAAGGTGTTTCAAACTGTTTCTATGACTGAAGCTCAATTATTGGAGTCTATCCAAGCTAAATCATTTCTATGGCTTAAAAATAAAGAATTTGGCTGTGTGTTCTCTTATATAGATTGGGTATCTAACCCTATGGATTGTAGGGAAGCCATTGTTCAATACCGTAAAGAGTTGAAGAACTACAAGCAGCTTTAACGTCTCAGGTTATGATTCCTCAATTCTATTTGGTTTGTATTTGGGTTATTGGGTTTCAATCTCTATTTTGTTCTCAGTTGGATTATGTAGTTCGTTTAGACTTTGTACTGTTATGAAAGAGTATCTTTTATACTCCTACAATAATAAGATTTCATTTTGCCGATCAAAAAAAAAAAAAAAACTAGAATTCCTAATAAGGACAAAGTTAAAATTTTAAGTTAAACAGTAAACAATTAAAATTTTTTGTGAGTTATTTTTTAGTACATATTAATATAATTTATATTTGTTTCTATGTTGGTCATTAATTTTGTGTATGTACCACTTAAGTTCGCATGCAAAACTTTAAATTAATTAGATATATTTAGTTTTATCAATTAAATTAGATATATAGCTATTTTTGAATAATATATACTTTAAAATCTTTAAATAAATAATATAAAAATATAATTTATTTTTTTAATGGTTACCTATATTAGAACAACTTTAAATTTAAAATATATGAATTATATAAAAAAAGAAAATTTAATTATTATTTTTATAGATTATAAATATATAAAAAATTATATACAATTAATGTAAAAAACTTATATAAATTATATCAATATTATTAATTAAATTTTGACTATTTTTTACATTTTTTCTTACTTAAACTAAATTATCATATTTTAAAAATTAATCACAAAGAGGAAAAATTTCTTTACCTAAGTTTTAAATATTTTATTTCTAAGTCTCCCATGCTCCAAACTCCTCCGGCTAGGGTTTGGAGTCGGCGGGCCTCTTCCTTCGGGACTTCTCTCCGGTAGCGGAGCCTCTCTATTTTTCTTCCTCCTTGCTTCAAGTCTTTGGATAGGGCTTTTCAATCAATCCAGTTGAGGCGTCATAACCTAGTGCTTCTCCTCTTTCTGCAAAATCGCCACATCTGTTCGGGAGTGCCACATATCTGCAGATTCATCTTGTTTCACCATTGCTACAACATCCCAATCATGGCGGAAGATGACTTGGGTTTTATGGTCCGCCGGATCCGAATTGCAGAGAACAAAGCCGAGATCCTCCCACTGCATCTATTTCGGAAACAAGATGATGCTAAAAGGAAAAAGTTACGGGTGGTTGGGAAATTGCTATCCCGACAGAGGATCAACCTTAATGGCCTCCAAAACGTTTTAATGGCTTCTTGGAACCCTAAGAAAGCTCTTGTAATTGTCGATCCAAGTGGCTGTCATTGGAGATGGATTGGGTTTTCCAGCCAAAAACAAGAGGAAAGGATGGCGGTTGAGAAAGCTGATGGTGTTCTACGAGGGGAGAACACTATTCCAATCGTTAAAGGGGCTCTCGTTCCCTTAATGACTTTCGGCCACATGGGATTAAAGAGGATTGGTACAATTAGGGTCATGGTTGGGAGCTCATGGAGCCGAGGGAGGTGCTTGGGCTTGGATGGAGGACCATGCCCAACTTGTGGGTTGGGGACTGTTTGTTGCCGAAATCCCTTGCTCTCCCCATGAAGCTGGTTAACTAGGTGAGGACGTCCAGTAGCTTCCGATGCTCATAGTGACCCTCCTTTTCTACATTAGTAGCCCTATTTAACCCATACAACGATTGCAATTGTAATCTCTAATTGCAGATGGCTTTCTTTATTTAATTGTCTATATTCGTCATGGGCATAGTTTAAATCTGTTATTAGGCTGTAGGTTATGCTTCTGTTTCTGCTTGTTAGGCTCTTATGCTTGAGGCTATATGCCATGTGATAGAGTTTTTACTGTACTTTTTTATTATTCAATATATTTTTTCATTTCTTATAAAAAAAATATATTTCTATAATACAAAAACTGAAAAAACAAATTTTGTAGAAAATTTGTTCAAAAAAAATATTTTGTAGAAAATGAAAATTAACGTATCATTTCTAAAATTTTTCAAATGCTTAGGAGAGGCACCTACTCCCCAGCCGCCCCCATAGCCGCCCCCCTTGTCCGACATTGGCTGCGTCCCTGATTCCTAACAGTTAATGTTTTGTCACGACCCTAAAAAGCAAGTCACTCAATACCAAAGTAATTTTGTCAGTAGACGGAGTAATCAAAGCTATTACAATCTCTCCCTCAAAAAAAAATAAAAGCTATTACAATCTATTTACACACAGATGGATGAGTAGATAAAAAAATTCTTTTATTTTGATTAAAAATTTTGATTTTAAATGTAAGAATTCATTTTTGTTAAAATTTATGAGGGAAAATTTTACCACTCATTAAATCTTATTTAACTCAAATTCAAATTAATTGATAACCCAATAAACTTTCGAATCACTAGTAATCCATAAAATAAAAAAATAAAAAAAAAAGCTCTCACAATCTTAGTCGGCTAGCTGTATCGTTTTTGGAAAATAGGCAATGGCGGCTAGCTCTATCCGTCTCACAATTTTTATGGCCTTTATGACTTGCAAAGGCCGGGGAGACGACCGTAATTTACTTATTTGATTAATCAAATTCTTAATTTGCCCTTCACTCACACCAGATATTTCTTCGAATTTAACCACTATAAAGACCATTCCATGTCGCTGGTTTCTAGAGCATGGTTGGGAGTTTTCTAAATATAATACCAACTAAAGTTGTTTTTGCAAGTTGTCTCTGTTTTTGGGTGATGTATTTTGAATCTTGATGCTAATTTGTTCAGAAATCTACTGAAGCAGGTCAGATTTTCTGGCTTTTCTCTATTCTCTCTTTGCAATTGCTTTATTCCGTTTCATTTACTTCTTATCTCAGCTCTTTTTGTATGCTTTTTATCTAATCTTTATACATGCACTATATTTTCTTTTTAAGGATTTGCCGAATTTCTAACATAGATAAAATTAATGTTAAAATTTAAAGTATAAGTTAAAAATGTAATAAATTTATTTTTTAAATATTAATTTATATAAAAAATAAAAAATTGATATTAATTTTAACATTAATGCCTCGTGAATGTTTTAAATTAAAAATTAATAAAATTAATATCAAATTTTATTTTTTATACATTAATAATAAAAATATATATTTATTACATCAGTAATTTATATGTCTTTCAAACCATATTTTTAATATACATCACGTCAGTTGCCCTGTGAAGTTGTGTAGTTAAGATGCATAAGTAGGTTGTGCTTTTAATTTTTCTCTTTTTTTTTCAATTATTAATTAATTTTTTATAAATACATTAAATTTTTTTATAATATATCTAATGATAAAAGATATAACAAAAAATAATCTTTTTTTTCTTTAATTTCTACTCACCTAATTTAAAATCCAAATATAATATTTTCAAATTTCCAAATATAATATTTTCAAATTGAAACCTCAACTTTTATTAGATAAAGCTACTCCTTGAACAGGAATAGAAATATACAGTTTGGCCAACATAATGTTTCATTCAAATTCAAACTAGCTTGTATCAACTAAATAATTACAAGTTTTTCTTCGCCTTTGATTAATTTAGAACAAAATCTGGTAACCCGTTGAAAGAGTTTGTTCTATGTATATAATGCATCTCTTTGATTTTGAGTTGCAGGTATTTTCCAACATCAATGGAGAACAAGATTATGTGCACTGTCTTCTTTCCAATATTGTTGACACAATGTTTCCTGGCTGCCTCAGCCAAATCGCAAAAAAACTTCACCACAGACAAATATGCCCTTCTTGAGTTCAAAGCTCATGTCACTTCTGATCCTTTTAATAATATCTTGTCCTCCAATTGGTCTTCCGCCACCTCAATCTGTAACTGGATTGGTATTTCATGCGATGCTTTTCATCGTAGAGTCACAACCTTGGATCTTCCAAACATGAACCTCACTGGCAACCTCCCTCCTCACTTGGGAAACCTCTCATTCCTTGTATCTCTCAACTTGAGTGGAAACAACTTTTACGGCCATTTGCCTTCAGAAATGGGGAAGCTGCAGCGTTTGAGGCACTTCGACTTGAGCTCCAATTTTCTTGAAGGAAGCATCCCTGATGCGATTTGCTCGCTTTTAAAGTTGGAGATTTTTCGGATAGGAAATAACCAACTTACAGGAACCATACCAAGAAAATTCGGGAACTTAACCAAGTTAAGGAAAATATATATAGGAGATACAAAAATTGGAGGTACAATCTCAAAATTTTCTCATTTGTCTTCTTTTTCTTTACTAGTATCTGCTGAAGGATAAGTTGAGATACATCATTCTTCAATCAAACTTTAAACCTCCAATTTCTTTTCAGGAAAAATACCACAAGAGATAGGTAATCTTCATAATTTAAAAGAATTTGTAGCTACAAATGCAACGCTCTCAGGTCCTATACCACCAAGTATAGGTGAATGCAAGAAGCTTCAGAAGCTGCTGTTATCGACTAATAAATTCACTGGATACATCCCAAGAAGCATTGGGAACTTGAGTGAACTTATTGCTTTGCATTTAGATGATAATGACTTTGAAGGTAAGATTCTTCCATATGTTTCTGGGAATCAAGATGACCCCACATGTACTACGTTAAAAGATCCATTAGTTTTTTTAGAGTTTAGAAATCTTTTGTCGTGCTGTGGGTCTCATTGTTCTCTTTATGGTTCTCATCAGTTTCTCTTCTTCTTCTTGCTAGTTGAGATTAATGCTTTTTGTGTTTTTTCTACATTGGTAGGTGAAATTGTTCCAGCTATCATCTACAACATATCTTCCTTGAAAACAATGAATCTTGCACACAACAATCTTTCAGGAAATTTTCCTTTGGATTTTTGTCGACGTTTCCCAATGCTTGAGTGGCTTAGCCTCTTCAACAATAAGCTCACTGGAACCATTCCAAACGATATTGGAAACTGCACTTTGCTCTCCGTTATAGGGATTAGTGAAAATTTCCTTAAAGGTAACCAATCTAATGTAACCCTCCTTTTTTAGAGTTTATTTTTCTTTTCATATCTTCGTCAACAACACTTTATATTATATTATATATATATATATATGTATATATTTATATTTTATATATACAGAGAAATTTGCATTTGTCAACCAAATTTTTAAAAAATTAAAGGAAAAAATACATCAAAATTCTTCTATTTCATTAAAATACCATAGAAAAATACAAAAACAAACTCAATTATGTTTTAAAAATTAATTATTTTAGTTTTTTTAATGAAAGTTTATTGAACAATAGATTTTTTGGATATGCACTATATATAGTATGAAAAGCTTGTCCATTTATTCACAAAATTTTACAGGTGAAATACCAGAGGAGGTTGGGAAGTTACCCTTGCGCTTTTTAAATTTGGAACAAAACCTTTTGACAGGTTGCATTCCTCCCATGATCTTCAACATTTCAACCTTGGAGATCATTAGCTTACAGTGGAATAACCTTTCAGGCCAACTTCCCTCAACCTTTGGACATGGCCTTTCAAATCTTACTGAGCTGTTCCTGAATCAAAATAAACTCAGTGGTGTTCTCCCAAGTTCCATCTCCAATTCTTCCTTGCTTACCATCCTACAACTTAATGACAACTCATTCACTGGCCCTCTTCCTAATTCGCTCGGCCAGCTAAGATTCCTTGATTGTATTCAACTTGGAAAAAACAACATGTCCTCTGAATTCTCCAATCCTGAAAAAAGCTTTCTCTCATCTCTGACAATTAGTAGATCTCTAACACGTATAGACATATCGTCTAATCCCTTGAATTGCATCCTTCCAAATTCATTTGGGAATCTATCCACATCCCTTCAATATCTCTATGCAGATAATTGCAAAATCCAAGGAAAAATTCCTCCAGCAGTTGGCAACATGAGCAACTTGATTGGTCTATGGCTTGGAAGAAATGATTTGATTGGACCAATTCCAACAACAATTGGAGGACTAAAACAACTCCAAGGTTTGTTTTTCAATAGTAATAGACTGCAAGGAACAATCCCATATGGCCTTTGTCATTTGAAGACATTGAGTGACTTGATGCTGAGTGATAACCAACTCAATGGATCCTTACCAGAGTGCTTAGCCAATGTAAGTTCTTTAAGAGCCCTATACTTAGATTCCAACAAATTAAGTTCAACCATACCTTCAACCTTCTGGAGCCTTAAATATATCTTAAGAGTAAACTTGTCCTCAAATTCCTTCAATGGTTCTCTCCCATCAAATTTTGGAAAGCTAATGGTCTTGATTAGCATGGACTTATCTAGAAATCAACTACTAGGCAATTTGCCTACTAGCATTGGGGATCTCAAAGATCTAACTTATCTTTCCTTGGCAAAAAATGTATTTAAAGGTAACATTCCTCAGTCATTTGGTGGGTTGGTAAGCTTGGACTTCTTGGATCTTTCTAACAACATTCTTTCCGGAGTGATTCCTAAGTCTTTGGAAGGACTCTCTTTTCTCAAATTCTTCAATGTATCTTTCAATAGACTTGAAGGAGAAATTCCAAGTGGAGGATCATTCAGAAACTTCTCTGCTCAATCATTTATGGGAAACACTGCCCTCTGTGGTTTGCCAAGATTTCAAGTGGCTCCATGTAAGTCCAAGTCCCACAAAAAATCCATACATGCACTAAGATTAGTGTTGCCAATTGTTGCAGCTACCATATTGATACTTTCCCTTGCCATCATCATCACCTTCAAAAGACGATATAAATCAAAAGCAAATTACACAAATGAAGAAATTTTGCCAAGTCTAGCAAATTGGAAGAGAATTTCATATCTAGAGCTTCAACATGCAACTAACAAATTCAATGAAGGAAACTTACTTGGCACAGGGAGTTTTGGGTCAGTATACAATGGGACACTTCGAGATGGAATAAACATTGCAATAAAGGTCTTTAATCTACAAGCAGATGGTGTACTCGAGAGTTTTGAGACAGAATGTGAAGTACTACGCAATATTCGCCATCGAAATTTGATCAAAATCATTAGCAGCTGTTGTAGTGAAGACTTTAAAGGCTTGGTGCTCGAGTTCATGCCTAATGGGACCTTGGAGAAGTGGTTATATTCTGATGAATATCATCTAAATATCCTACAAAGATTGAATTTAATGATTGATGTGGCTTCTGCTCTAGAATATCTCCACCACGGACATTCAGTTCCAATCATCCATTGTGATTTGAAACCTAGCAATGTACTGCTTGATGAAGATATGGTTGCACGTGTGGGGGATTTTGGCTTAGCCAAGCTTATGGGAGAAGGGGCATCTGTGATGCAAACAATGCGAATTGCCACTATAGGCTACATGGCACCAGGTTATAATTCATTTTTCCCCTTTCCTTTTACTTATTTACGATTCAATTTACGTATGCAAAACATAAAATTAATTGTGTCTATTATAATTTGATACAGAGTATGGATCTTTGGGAATGGTTTCTGCAAAAGGGGATGTTTACAGTTATGGCATCTTAGTCTTGGAGACATTCACAAAAAGGAAACCAACAGATAAAATGTTTGTTGGAGAAATGAGCTTAAAGGCCTGGGTGAATGAATCATTATCTCGTTCATCAATTGAAGTAGTGGATGCCACTTTGATGGAGGAGGAGGAGCATTTCATTGCCAAAGCAAATTGTGTATCATCTGTTTTGGAAGTAGCTTTGAATTGCTGTGCAGAAACACCCAAAGTGAGAAGAAATATGATGGATGTGGTAGCGATGCTTAAAAAGATCAAAAATCAATATCTGAAGGATGTTAGAGACTGAAAAGAACTCGTAAATTAAATAGCTAAGAGTTAGAGACAACTTTACTGTTGAATTTAAACATTTGGACCAGGATGGTATCTCTTGCATAAATTTCATAAGATATTTTTATGGAAAACTACATTCTGCTTTCTCGGCCATATTGTTAGCACGACATGGACAATGTTTTAGGCCCTGTTTTGGTACTAAAATAAGGCAAACTAAACAAATCCTTACTTTCAGGGCTTAGACGAATGCTGAGGAAACCTTGCACAAATGCAAATCTTCAACAAAAAGAGCTATTTCAGCCAATCTGCGTATAAAATGGTCTTTTTCCTTCCAAAAAAGGACACTCTTTTCTTTACCAACTAGAAACATCAAAAACAAGTAAACATTGTTCGAGGAAAAACAAGAATAACAATGTTTGAGGATAGAAGTAACCAGCAAAAGTAGACCAGTGGTAGATGTAATTAATGAAGTATCATCACCATGATTGTAAAATCACTAACATTAATAGAAAGAACGATGAGGGTGTGATTATCTTATTAAAAACAAGTGAATTATCGAAAATTGATAAAATGGCTACCGAACCAAGGCTCATGTCTACACTCATTCGTCCTCCTGCCTGTGCAACCTAGTTAGCTTGTTAGTAACAACAATATCAAGCTGAGCAGCTCTCCAAAATCTCCTTCCTCTTCCTTGTGGAGACATCATGAGCAATCTCTGCACAGTATGTCCTACAAAGCAAGGGAAAACAGTAAATAATTGGAATGAAAAAGTCAAAACTGAATGTGTAATGAATGTTTGAAAAAGATTTTAAGATAGCTGTTGTGCATCATGAGCAGCTCAAGCTTTTTGGCATTGTGCACGACAAACTTCTTAGGCCATTTGGAAGATAATGACGAGTGTTCTTCTCTGAGCCATAACCAATGTTGGGCATCAAAGAACATCCCTTGAACTTTCTTTGAACCCAAAATCAATACTCTTATTAGTGTTTTTCACAAGATTGAAAAACATATTTTTCTTTTATTGTAAATCTCAAAAATAAATACCACTAGCCCAAATACTAGGGACCTCCTAAGCCCAAATACTACGGACTTTCTAATAACCTTGTGTTGATAAGGACCATGAGGCTGGGTCCAGCCCACTTTTAAATAACAAAGGCTTGGCTTCAATCGAACTGTTGTCTCGTATCGATCATTTGCAGTGTTAACGTCTCGCGCGCTCCTCCATTCACCAATCCAGCTTTCAACTTCAAATACGTATCTTGGATCTCAATCTGTACCACTTATCTCCGGGTATCGGTAATTAGTCTATTTCGAGAACCCTTACTTCCAAATTCTTCCTGATGCATTTTCATACACCAAGATGATGGCTGGTTACGCGGAAAGCTACAGACTTGATGATGCATTGAAAATGTTGACAGCATGCCCGTTAAGGATACTGTTTCGTGGAATTCAATGAGGGTGCTTTGCAGTGTGGGGATTTAGCTATGGCTAGGAAGCCATTTGATCAAATGCCCGAGAGGAAAAAGTTGTTTCTTGTACATCGATGGTACATTGGTATTTGCAGTTTGGGAAAGTTGAGGGGACTGGGACTCTGGGAGTTTGTTTTCTGAGCTGTCTGAGATGTTGCGGCATGGAATTCAATGATTTATGGGGATTTAATTTGATCAGGTTGGGAGAGTTAGGATGCTGTGAGGTTGTTCGAGGAGATGCCTCCTCGGAACGTAGTTTCACGAACTTCTATGATTGGCAGGTTTTGATCAGAACATTCACTGGTTTGCTTTCTGCTTGCGGCCATTCAGGGATGTTGTAACAAGGGAGTTTTTTTTTTTTTTTTCGTGGGTATATTAGATTAGTCCACTAAATGTAAGGTCCGGTACTATTTCTGTGTATAGAGACACTGAGAAGACAGAAAGTCGCAGAAACCCACTGACTGGAGAAATGAGTTTGAAGACGTGGCTGAAAGAGTAATTCTCTTGTACAGTAACTTGGCTTGCGGATACATTTTGTTGGAGGAACAACATTTTATTGCCAAAGCTAATTGTGTATCTTCTGTTCTGAGACTGGCTTTGGATTGTTGTGCAGAATCGCCAAGAAACATGACAGATGCTGTGGCGGTACCAGAAATGATCAAAATCTTAAGGATATCAGAGAGATCCAACGAGATAAAAACGCTACTCAAGAAAAGCTAACCAAGAAAAGCTAGAAATCTATTTTCTCTTCCGTATGGACACATCATTAGCAATCTCAGCATGATATTTCCTAATTGGAATCAAAAGGTCAAAACTGAATATGTAACAATCCAATTAAGCTCTTTGACATGTTGTGCAGGACAAAGTACTTTTTGAAGCCATACCTTTTTTAGTTTTGTTTTATACATATATAAATCTTATAAAAATTATGCGACCCTTAATTTTAAAATCCAAAGGTTAGAAATATGTTATTAAATATAATATCATCATTTTAATCATTAGATTGGAAGATTAACTACAAATTACTTAAATAAATAAGCAGCTTATGAATCTTTAAATAATATCGATTCTCAACTTAAATAAAAGTAGCTCCTAAGCCTTCAAATAATACTTGGTTTTAGACAAAGTTAATGTTAAACTTAAAGAACAATCAATTTATATAAAATACATTAATGATATTGTGACAGTGTTAAATATATTATTATAATTTTATAATCATAATATATCATTAATTAAATTAGTGTAAAACTATTGTAAGTGGATACTAAATGAAAGGATTTAATCATACATTGACACTTTATAATTATAAATTTATAATAACGTATCATTAAGTTAACAAGTGTAGACAATATATATTTTAGACAAATTTTTTATTAGATAGATCTTTAAATAAGAAGTATCAATCATATAATGATCATAC